AGCATCTTATTATAAAACTGTATTGACGACTCAAAGATTAGATATTAAGGTTCCACTTGGTGTTATATCTGACACGCTATCTTCAAATCTGAAAAGAAACAAGGTGAATGAAATAAAAGAAATTTAAAAAAATAGGAGTTATTTTATTTACAATATTCAATATTATTGTAATACTTGAATTGTGAATTTGAAAATAAAGAAAGAGTTGAACAATCAATTTAAATGAATAAATGATAAATAATAATAAAGGAAAGAATTCATTTGTTTTTATTTATACTAATTTAAAGAAATTTAAAACATGAAAAACTAAATGATATAAATATCAAGTAATTTAAAATAAATTATAAAGAATTTCTACATATTCTAATACTCTTTTGTGAACATATTTTGTCTTTTAAATTTACTTCATGTCAGTAATAATCAGATTTTGATATAAACCTTAACAAGATAAATCAAATTATAAATAAATGAAATCAAATCACATTTTGATTAAAGTATTATGAATCAAGCATGACAATTGAATTATTTATGTGAAGTTGTATTATTCAAAGAAACAATAAATAATATTTCTATTTATTTCAATTCAATTAAATAATTTAAATTATATTTTATTTATTTGTTATATTAAAAAATAAAAAATAGAAAAGAACTAAAAATATCATATTTATATTCTTTGTAATTTATTGTCTTGGTTAGTCTGCTAAACAACTAAAAAACAAACAACGAAATCCAATTAGAATAAACACTGTTTCATTAAGAAAAGAAAAATAAATAAAAAGTATATAAAAGAGAAAATCATTGAATAAAAAAGAGTGTTATTCAAGTGGTAATGTCATTTGGTAGAGTTATTTGATAAAAGCCAAGATGAATTGTCCAAAGTTATTTATGAATTTATCAAGCAAATAAAGAAATAATGAGAATGAACATCAACATAATGCTATTGAATCAGAAAATCAATGAGAAAATGTGTATATATCACATATGTTTGTTTATATCACAAAACAATCAAATAGAGAATTTGTTGTTTTATGAAATAATTACAGAGTTTAATTATTACATAAATTCAATCATATTTCATTAACAACAAATCATATTCATTGATATTGTAATTGTACAATATCAACACATCTCAATCAGTTACACAAATTAAATAAATACAAAATACTTCAAGAAAAATGAGAAATTTAAGAGTAAATAAGTTTAAATAATAACAGTATGATACTTATTGATGATTTAATCATTATCAACACTTAAAAAGATAAAATGAAACTAATATTTAACTCTACAACTATAATGATAACATTACAAATAAGATAATAAATGATATTATGTATTTCATTTATAATGAAGATATTTGATGAGTTAAACTAAACCAATTAATTAAAACTTTCATTTAATTATTTGTCTTTAGCAAATAATGTAATTTTCAGACTTTTTATCTAGTGTTGATTTTTTTCTTTATTTTGTCAAGTTCTTTAATAATATCACCTTCCGTACTTTTTGAATCTGGTTTTTTCATAATATATTCTATTATTTCATTTGTTTCTTTTAGCTCTTTATATCCTTTAACTCGTTCTTTATATCCACTTTTCTGTTCTTCATTTTCTGATTCAATTAATTGGTCTAAATAATCATTAGAACTAGTGATTTTACCATTTAATGCATTTGATGATAATACGTTAATACACTCTACCATTTTTATTAGTTTACCATGACACTCTATTTTAATTTTATCATATTCTTTTTTCAATATTGCTAACGTAGCCTCTGCACTAGCCATACCTTCTTTACCTTCATTATATCTTTCAAGTACTTTTTCTAATGTTTGTTCTTCTATTTCTGTTTTTTCGTCATGTCTATATGGTGAGTTTGTATGTTGTATATAATGACACCCACATACATTACAATATCCATTAGCACCAATGCAAGAACAACCTTTTTTTATATCTCCTTTAATATAACATGGATAATGACATGTTTTATGACAATACAAACAATTAGTTACATATTCTCCTGGTTTTAAGTCAACTAATATTGGTATTCGTACTGGTGTGAGAATTTTATAATCTTTATTTTTATTAATCTTCTCACGATTCAAATCGATCTGTTCTTCTACATTTTTTATATTATTCATTTTTGATAAACCATTATTTAACGATATTCTTAATCCCTCAATTTCAGTTTTAATTTGTTCTCTACTCTTCAAAACATCTCTGGACTTTTCTAATGATGTTCTTGGTAATTTTTTTACTTTTTTAATAAATTCATCAAAGTTCTTCATACTTAATTCCCAAAAATTTTGTGTTAAAGGATTTTCGGTATTATCCTTATAAATGTATAAACAATTAAATTTTAAATACCATGGTTTATCTATTTCTGGAATAATTGTACTGAAAACACAGTCTTTTGATTGTAGTGAACATAGAATTTTTGGTGTTTCACCATCAGAGAATGTAAGCATAGCAATAAAATTCTTTTTCACATCTTTCCCAAATAAATTAATAATATTATCAAGTATATATTTTTGACTTGCTGTTAATCTTGGATTACTTGATTGTGCAACAAAACAAATAGCATTTAAATCTAATACTTTTGTTTCAAATGCTTTTTTGATTTGATTAGTAATTACTTTATCATACTCCATTCCTCTTGTATCTCCAAATCCAGGTGTATCTATTATTTTTATTGGTGGTGCTTTTTTTGTTCTTTTAATATTATAAATTGTTACTTCACTTGTTTGACTTTTAGATTGATCTCCACTCTGTTTTAAATTATCTTCATTTATAATTATATACCTAAAATCATCTGTTATCTTGATTCCATATAATGCATTTACAAAACTATTTAATAATGTTGTTTTACCACTTCCTGTTTGTCCAATAACTAAAATAGCAATTGCATCACTCTCATCCTTTGAATTAAATGGTTCATTTGGATATAAATATATTTTCAATTTTCCTTCTTCATGATTTTTCAATCTTATACTTCCTTCAATTGGAGCGTTTGGTTCAGATAAATCTGTAAGGTCATTTGATGAAGTGTTAGACACTTCTATTGTTATATTGATCTTGTTATCATATAAAATATCTGATAATTTTAATGACTGTTCTTCATCTTTTTGTATTTCATATCCTTCTTTGTCTTTAAACATAAAATCTTTTGGAATATTTTTTATATTTTCAATTTCTTTTCTTATATCTGAAAGATAAGAATTTTTATTTAATTTTCTTTTTGTTTTTGGATTTCCATTCAAATCAATTCCAATATCCACAATATCCATTGCTGGTGTATTTTCTTTCTCTTTTTTAATAATAATTTCATCATTATTTAATATGTCTTCTACTAAAAATATATCTTCTTCATCTTTTTCAATTATGTTGTTGTCAAGTGTATAGAAATGTGCAGATTCTGGAATATTTTGAATTGATTTTCTGACATCACTTAATTTTGTTTTCTTATCCAATTCAATAGTTTTAAATAATTTGTCATTTAATTTTATTTTTACTTCCTTTTTATCTTCTTTTTCTTTGATATTTATTATTCTTGATGAACCAATTACATCTTCTATAGTAAATGAATCTTCATCATTTATATCAATTAAATCTCCTTCTTTTGTTAGGAATTGATGAGAACCAGATATCTTTTCACTTAATTTCTCTCTTGCTGTTTTCAAATTGTCCTGTGAATTCAGTGGTTTAGTTGAAATCGATTTTCCATTTAAGAAGAATCTTACTGTTACTTTAGACATTTGATGAATAATAAGTTTATTTTGTAGTTTAAATATTGATAATTCAGAAAATAGGTTATTTGTTTAAAAATATTATTTCTTTTCTGATTGGTTAACTGTTTTAAAAGTCATTTGTTTTAATATTTTATTCACTTTTATTTTTATATTTCACTATATTTTTATCGTTAATTATGTTTTCATGAAATAACATTACAAAGAAGTTTTCATCAATGTAAAATTTCAAAATAATTTATTCATTCTTTATTATTTTTATCGTTTTTCTTGAATTGAATTTATTTAAATTAAAAATAGATAAAATCATTTGACTTATTTCGTATTTTTTTCATGTTATATTACAATTTATTGTTTCTTCATTTAATTTTATTATTTCAAAATGGTTGTTATAAAATTATAATAACATTGAACGGGTAATGATTGTTATATATAAATTATTATTTTTTTTGTTTTATTTTTATTTATATTTTTCATTTATTTTCTTTTGATAAAAATGAAATACAAAAAATAAAACAAAAATTCAATAATAAAAGAATGAAAACAAATATTATCTGTATTGATAGAAATACATTAATTATCATATTAAACATTACCATAATAATAACTGTCATCATAACAATTATAATAATAATTGTATGAACCATTTTATTCATTTTCATCGTCATAAGTATTTTATCATTAATTCAAATAGAAACAATCAATCATTATAATACAAATAAATTTCATAATAAAAGACAACAATAAATAAGAAATAAAAGAAATAATAAAAACACATATAAATAAAAGAAAATAATTAAATGATTAAAATGAAAATGATTAATAATAAATAAACGAATTAAATAATAATTAAATGAAAGAAATGAAGTGAATATATAAGAAATACAAATAATATATTTAATACATGAAATTATCAGTAATAATATGTAAATAAATATAAAAATAATTTCTTTCATCAAATTAATAAAGATATAAGAATAATTAATTATTAATTGAAGTACTAA